GAGAGTCTAGCCAACTCCCAGACTCGCATGGTCGCACGAGCGAACCGATCACGAATGGATCATCCATTCAAAGTCGGTGACGATGTGCTCGTCGAAAGACGCCACTTACAGCTCTAAGCGGATACGCTTCGCAAGTTCAGGCGTCGTTTCGTCGGTCCATGCCGCATCCTTCAAGTCATCGGTTCTGATATTGTCGATAGTCCGGTCAGCTTCCGTGTGAAGCTACCTGATTACCTTCGACAGGCTCGCGTACACGATGTTCACCACGTCTCCTTATTGCGTCCTTATCGCAGACAGTCCGAGCGCTTCATTGGACGCCCATATGAGCGCCCTCCACCTATCATGGTGGACGGTCACGAGGAGTTCGTCGTTTCCGACATCGTATCTCGCCGAGTGACCGACGATACCCCTCCACGCATCAAGTACCTTATGCGTTGGAAGGGTTATCCTGATCAGGAGGCTACTTAGGAGCCCCTCGAGCACTTGCAGCACGCCAGGATGTTGGTGCGTGCATATGATCGTGTTCGTTGTGCTGAGATGTCTGCCCCTGCTTAGCCGACTAACCCTCTTCCTCCTCCTCTGGCTGAGGAGATTGCTGAGGACGAGCCCGCTCCCTCTGAAGCCGTTCCTCAGCCGCAGACGGGCGCCTCCGAGCGTCCACATTGCACTCATTGTCACCCTTCGCATTACGCTGACTGACACTCTTATCCTCTATCTTTCCCCACTGACTCACACCATCAGGTACTCCATGATCAACTCTTCTTCAAGATGTCAGCGTTTTGCGGCTCTGCTTCGACATTGACCTCGACTCCTACTTCATCGACATCGACCTCGACTCCTACTTCATCGAGGTCATCGACCCCTTCGACGACTTCAGTCACCTTCTTGACTTCAGCCATCTTATCGGCTTCAACTACTTTGGACGTGACTATTTCACACCACCACCCTACCCTATACATTTCCTTGCATCTGATGGTTCTCACTTAGCTGGGTCTCTTTGAGCTGGGCTCTCTCTTGGTATCGCATAGGCATTGAGACCGTAGCGTTATCTTGGCTTCCTTGCTCCCAGATCTAGCTCCCTCCTCCTCCAGTCGGTGAGTTGTGTGCATATTTCCCTCATCCACTGCCCTCATCACCCTAGTGTCGGCCCTTACATGCCTTCAGTTAGGCACATCTCCACCCTATTCCAGGCTCCCCCTTTTTCATGGTCGACCCTGCATGGTGTCATCCATTTGACGAGCATTACCCGCCCTGATGGTCTATCTGTTAGGGTCCTTGGTTTTGTTTCGCTACCACTCTCCCACCTTGAGCCTGATGACCTATCCCACCTTCATGTGTGACTGCCCTTAGGAGTTTCGATTCTTAGGCTGCATTCACCCCCTTTGAGACCATCCCACTCCTAGTGGTTCAGCGACAGGACATTATCTTGTGCCATATTGCTTTTTTTCCTTTCAGCACTGAGGCAATTGCCTCCAGGACTTTAGGATTGTATATTGCTACATTTCATTTTCTGTTGTTAGTTAGGATATGTATACCAGACATTTGCTTTTCATTTGACACTATGTAGCTTAGGCTGCATTGCATGGGCTCCGCATGGAGCTTGCTCCGCATCCTAGATTTCTCAGCTTTCTTTATTGCAGAGTTCCGCTGCTTTGCGGATAGCGTGTTTATGGCTCTTGCGATCCATTACAGGTTTGAGGATCGTGCAGCGGGCCTTCATCTGCCCTGACCTACAGCCAGGGCCTATTTGGCTATTTGCCAGTTCGGCCTGTGGGACCAATTCGTGGCCTGACCCCACAGGCCGTGCACTGTTTCAGTCCAGTCCCATCCTTCCTAGTACCACTGTCGGTACCAGTCCAGTCCAGTCCAGTCCAGTCCAGTCAATCCGCTGGGGGTATACCCCAGCTCTTGTCTGTTTTTCGTCATTCATTATTTTTACACTTGTTGGAGTACGTGTGGTGTTGAGTCTGCGTTGGAGTTGCGTTATCCCTTCTAGCTCCATCTCCACTCCTTCCTCTACCCGTTCGTCTCCATCCTGTCAGACCGCCATCCCGGCGGGTCCGGCACAAAGGAAGTGGCCTGCCTGCTGCGTGTGGCCTGGGTGCGCTGGGCCGCTGCCCAGAAGCTTCCGGTAGGCCCCGAGAGGCTAAGCCCCGGTCCAAACGGATCAGACCCATGGCCTGTGACGGTTGCCTGTGCCCAACTGCCTGCAGCCTGTGTTCGGCCCTTGTTGTGTATCTGGTCCAGGGCCTGCCTCAGTTACGTACAAGAAAGGCAGCCAGGGCCTGGACGCTCTCAACCAACTGGCGCTGCGCAACTGCCTGAATTTACCTTGTTGTTGCGTGGTAGCCGAAAAATAGGCCTGTTGGTATTGGTCGGGCCTGCCTTCACTTAGGGCGGCCGACTGTGCTGCATACGGGGTCAAGAGGGGCCCATTGGAGCCTTATGACTCGCACTTGAGATATCATCGTTGAACTTACTGGCCCCAGGTACTTCAAAATTATTTTGTGTCATTCATATGGATTTGAACTTGGGTCCTTATGTCAACAACTCAGGGTGTACCAACTGAGCTATGCACATTGGTGAGATTCAGCAGTATTTATTCTGCAGTTAGTGGCAAGTTTCAGTGGTACTTAGTCAGCAGTCTGCAACAAAAATTCAACAGCACAAAATCTGCAGATTGCAAAAGTTTCAGTAATAACCATTCCGCGAATTGCGGTGAGATTTGAGACCGAAGGATCGACACCCACGTAGATCTCGCATGGATCGTTGTCTTCCTGGGATGGTTGATTTGGGATTGTCTCTCTAGTCTCGATGGGCCGCGGAGTATACGTCTGATTCAAAGAGCTCCAGTGCAGTCCGTTGGAGTAGACGAGTCAAGTAGAGACGACACCGTGCGGGCCACAAAGTCGGTCCAGGTCGTCGACCAAGACTGCTGCGACAAAGACAGTGAACTTAGTGGCATTATATCCGCAGTTGTCCTCAGTGGTACTTACTCTGCAGTCAGCGGTACTTAATCTGCAGTAAGTGGCAAGTTTCAGTGGTACCTAATCAGTAGTCTGCAACAAAAACTCAACAGCATAAAATCTGCAGGTTGCAAAAGTTTTAGCAGTATCCAGCCCGCGAATTGCGGCAAGATTTGAGACCGGAGGATCAACACCCAGGTAGAAGATCTCGCCCGGATCGTGGTCTTGGCCCTCTGGCCTCAATGGGCCTTGAGTATACCTCTGATTGGAAGAGCTCCAGTGCAGCCCCTTGGAGTAGGCTAGTCAGGTATAACCGGCACCGTATGGGCCGGCGAGCCTATGCCCCGGAGGTTTTCATTCCTGAACTTCCCCTTGATCCAGTGGAATGGGTCTGGCGGACATCTAAAACCAGCAAAAGCCACGGACCCTGCAGTGAATTTCTGTTAAGTCTTCTTATGGGTTGCTGCGTCCATGGGTAGATGTGTCAGCAATTCTTCAGGAACGTTGGACATGCGAGGATTGAGCCCTTGCAGGGCTTATCAGGCCTGTGCACCCAACAGACAAAGGGGCCCCCAGTCCGCCTTGTGCCCGCCCTAAGTAAAGGCGGGCCTGCATTTCAACATGAGGCCTTAGTTTTGTCATTTCTGTCTGTGGGGGTGCCAGACAGTTGCCACGCGCCAGTTGGTTACAAGGCCCACATCTGTGGGATCACGACATTCCGAGCCTCAGGGCTCACCAGACAGTGACGTGGCTAGAGGCATTTCAGCCAATGAAAATGCAGCGAGCGATGCTGGCCATGTTGCACAGTTGGGCTGCTTAATTGGTGCGGGGGCCCAGGCCACTGTTTGCATTGGGCCTGGGCACAGATACTGGGCCCCAGCCAGAAGCTACTGGAAACACGGTGGGCAGGGCCCAGGCACGCAGAGGCTGAGCGCACTTTCCATATAGGAAAGTGCTCACCGCCCAGCTTCTCATTCTGGCTTTGCCTCTGGACGGGGCCACGCTGCTGGAGGACAGCGCGGCCGGGCTGCTGGGGCGCACTAGCGGTGGAAGAGGGGGCGCTGCTGGAAGGCAGCGAGCGAGACAGCCATAGTCGGGCTTGCCTTGTCGATGCTGGTGTGGGCGATGGTGGTCTTCGGGTGACGGGAATGCACACTGTGGGGAGATGGAGATGAGAGAGGGGAGAGGGGAGACATGTACCTGATGTATGCGGCAGTCTGCATGGGCGACTTCATCACATACATTGGTCTTCAGCTTGAAGTGATTCCTTTTGCATGTCGTAGCTGTAGGGTAGCATAGGTGCTGAGTAGGATAGGCTGGGCGCTGAGTGCCAAAAGAAAAGAGTGGCATTGGATACTGTGTTGGTGGTGGCAAGAAGGGCCGACATTGACATTTGAGTTCATTATATTGCTCTTATTTGGCTTGTATCTCGGTGCATTACACTTTCTGCTTGGGACACGACTATCTGGCTTTCAACGTGATATTGCAATTTGGTTTTTTGTTTATCGCTCTCGCTCATTTTCCTTGCAATTTAGTATCGGAGTTGGTTCAGATATCGCCATACTGCGCTGGTGTCTTGGTTACTTGGTGTGGTGACGAAGCTTCTCCGTAGTAAGGATACTTTGACGCTGGCTGATTGAGTCCCACCTGGGTAGAGGGGAGTGTGCTGGAAGGTTGTGGCAACAACAGATGTATGTGGAATGATGAGGGCATGCTGACGTGGCAATTGTGCTGAGGTGGCACTTCATTGCATTGTGTGTGGTACCGAGGCTATGACCGGTCATCGAAATCCACGTCGGCTCTGTTGGTGAGAAATTGGTGGCTAGGGGCAGCTATCTCCAAGTATGTTCTTCCTAACCTTATCTTCCCATCGTATTCTCTTCTTACAGTGAGGGAGAGAGTTCAGCTTGAGAGTCCATTTCTGATCAGGAGTCGTGAGCGCTCTACCTTGAGAGGACATTCTTCATGGTGGCGCATGTGGTGGGAGAGGGCGATGCCTCTGAAGGGCCCTAGACGAAGCCCGGGTCACGGTCACCTACCAGCCCATGGGAGTAGAGCACGCATGCTTTGCTGAATTGCCCTTTGAGCTCTTGTTGCGCATAGAGGGGGTGTTGGCCAGGCCAGCCCTATGGGGGATCAACGTGTACCGGACTGTCGTTAAAGATACTCCGGCGGGGAAACCGACTCACATTGTACACGAGGATAAAAATTGTACGGTCAGGGCTGGCTTGTTTTTCATCACCTGTGCACAGCGGTGGGCCGTTGTGCACACCATAAGTCACCGCTGCTTTATTGATGCAGCCAGGACGTTGGATACAAGGGAAAGGGAAGGCTTCAATTGGTGCTCGATTATTATTATTATTATTATTATTTCCATTTGGCATGCATCTGTGCAAGTAATTTACTTTATTTTTGATTATTTGAGTTGTTTATGGACTGTTGACACCCAACAGACAACATTAGATTTGAACTGCACTAGTTTACCATTTTCGGTTCTTTCTTTTGTTGCAGGTGGATAACTAGTCGAAGTAGGATTAGATTACTTGTTGATTTTCACATTTGGTGCTCACAGTATCTGATGTGCATTTTGACGTTCGTGATGTGCATTCTGAGGTTCGTAACGCACCTCCTATGGAGGAGGGGAACTTAATCATCAGATTTCGTTCCTGGTTAAGGACGACTTACCATCCAACATGTTGTTGTGATTGTACTACATCTAGGTTGCTCAACCCAAGTTTGACTGGGGCTGAAAGATGCT